CTCTCTCTCTCTGCCTCTCCTTCTCTTTTACTCGTTAAAATAAATACATAAATCTTTTTTTTTTTTTTGACAGGCAGAGTGGACAGTGAGAGAGACAGAGAGAAAGGTCTTCCTTTTCCATTGGTTCACCCCCCAATGGCTGCTGCGGCTGGCGTGCTGCAGCTGGCGCACTGCACTGATCTGAAGCCAGGAGCCAGGTGCTTCCTCCTGGTCTCCCATGTGGGTGCAGGGCCCAAGGACTTGGGCCATCCTCCACTGCACTCCCGGGCCACAGCAGAGAGCTGGCCTGGAAGAGGAGCAACTGGGACAGAATCCGGCGCCCCGACCGGGACTAGAATCCGGGGTGCCGGCGCTGCAGGCAGAGGGTTAGCCTAATGAGCCGTAGCCTCTTTTTTTTTTTTTTTTTTTTAAGATTTATTTGGGGCCAGCACTGTGGCGTAAGTTTAAGTCAGAGTTACAGAGAGAAAGGGAGAAAGAGGCAGAGAGAGAAAGAGAGGTGTCTTCCACCTGCTGGTTCACTCCCCTAATGGCTGCAATGGCAGGAGCTAGGCCAGGCTGAAGCCAGGAGCCAGGAGCTTCTTCCAGGTCTCCCATGTGAGTGCAGGTGCCCAAGGACTTGGGCCATCCTCTACTGCTTTCCCAGGCACATTAGCAGGGAGACTGATAGGAAGTGCAGCAGCCAAGTCTCAAACAGGTGCCCATATGGAATACCTGTTTCGCAGTCAGTGGCTTTACCAGCTCTGCCACAATGCCAGCCCCCATCTTCTCTTCTGAAAAACGGAGACAGCGTTACCAATCTCACAGGGCTATTGAGAGAGATGAATAGGATACATGACAGCACCAACTTCCAGGTTTTACAGTGATGCTGGGTGTAGGTGAGTGACCATACTTTTCAACTTGGCTGTGACATGCCAATTGACATCTGTTGAACCACAGCAATTCATAACATTCCCATTCACTCTCAAAGGTGTTCTGGTTTGGACAGTAAACTATGTGGTCCCCCTAGCAGTAGATCTGACACTAGAGTTATCTATGCTGTTCCCTGGGACACAAAGGAGGAGAGGAAGGGAGTCTGATTGTAGAAAGGGGTGGGAATCATGAAGATGAGCCTGAAAGTATGCATGGGATTACACCAAGTAGAAGGGAATGAGAAAGGTGTAACAGGCAGAGAGACCAGCACTGGCAAAGAAACAAGGCTTGAAAATTTCAGGCATGCTGGCATTAACACCAAAAGGACAAATGTCTCAAGTCCAGGAGGCATGGACGGAGATGAGGTCTTCTTTAAAATATATATATGTATATGTATATGTATATGTATAGCTCCCTTTTATTTTATGATTTAGCTAGTTGAAAGATATATGCATATATGTATGTATGTATCTTCCATCTGCTGGTTCACTCCCCAAATGACCAGAAGAGCCAGGGTTGGGCAAGGCTGAAGCTAGGAACCTAGAACTCCATCTGGGTCTCCCACATGGAGCAGGGGCCTGAGGGGCCATCTTCCATTGCTTTTCCAGGTACATTAGCGAGGAACCAGATTGGACAGAGCAGCTGGGACTTGACTTGGTGCTCCAGTAATGCCACAACGTTAACCCCAGATGAGGCTTTCTGTAGGAAAGAAGGAACTATGGAAAGTTTTTGAGTAGGGGTAGATACGAGCAAGTGGCTTTGCAGAAGAGACTGATTGAGAAGCTGGAGCCAAAATCCAAGCAGGAGAGATAATGAGGCCTAAACTGGGCAGTGCCTGTAAGTCCAGGGAAGAAGGGCAAGAGTCCATACACACTCAGGAGGTAAAACAGAGGGTAGAGGGGCAGACTCCCTCATACTGGGCTTTTTCACATCCAGTGAGGACAAAATACATAGCTTTCCCATCCCTGCTTCTCTGTCACATCTTTTCAAATATTCTCTACTCCTCTCACAACTCGCTGCACACACTTCCTCATGCTGACCCTGTGCTTGGAACCCCTATACCTTTCCTGACAGCTTCCTCAGTTTGGAATGTCCTTTCCCCTGCCCATAAGCTTGTCAACTCTTTAATTTTTTTGTTTGTTTAAAAGAGAGACAAAGAAGTCTTCCACTCACTAGTTCACTCCCAAAAGCCTGCAATAGCTCTGGCTGGGCCAGGCTGATGGCAGGAGCACAGAACTCAATCTGGGTCACCCATATGAGTGACAGGGACCCAAGTACTTGAACCATCACCTGCTGCCTCCCAGGGTGCACATCAGCAAGAAGCTGAAATTGGAAACAGAGCCAGGATCCCAACTCCAGCACTTTGTTATGAGATGCAGGTGTTCCAAGCAGCATCTTAACTGCTATGCTAAACTCCCTCCCCCATGCTTGTCAACTCTTGCTCATTTCTTGAGATCCAGATCCAAGGGCTCTTCCTCAGGAAAGCCCTCCCTAACTGCCTTGAGCAGGGCATGCCAGCCCCGCATTGCCCTGTCCCAGCTGTTTGCATATGCCCTTATCACCTAGTGTCCCAGAGATCTGCTCTTCTCTGTTATCCCCCTTTAGGCTATGCTTCTCGAACTGGTGCTCTCTAATGCCTGGCAAAGGGCCTAGCACATGAAGTAAGTATAATAAATGTTTACAGAATGAGTGAATAGATGAGTGAGAACCCTTTTCTCCCTCATGCCATCTCTCTGAGTCACTACTCCGTTTCTATCAAGGAGAGACACAGAAGAAAGAGTAGGAGGAATTGCTAATCCCTGTATTCAGAGATGGTAGATTCAGGAGGAAAGAAAACCCAGTAGGAATGGGGCCATTGCAAAGCCCAACAACATTTATAAGAGGTCAGTTTTCCACCAAAGTATTGATGGTGGCAGCTTTGAGCTGAGACAGACTTTGTTTGAAAGCCAGTGCCAAGACAAGCAAACATCGGGTGCACTGAGCTTTTCAACAAGCTAGGGTTCTGGCAGCTGTTTCTGTCAGCCACACAGAGAGACATATCTACAAGACATCTGGGTCTGCCTGTAATCAGGGGTCCCCATTTCCTTTAGCACAATCTGACCCAAAAAAAGCAGAGCAACCCTCTCTCCCCACTTCCTGCCTGCCATAGGCACACACCTCCTCTAAGGGGCCTCTGTAACAATGACATTGAGCACTGAGAACAGAGGTGGCTACAGGCAATTGTGGCAGAGGTAGCACCGCTTACTAAATAGCCTATGGTTTCCCCATACATTCCCCAGCCTTCCTTACACTTAGATGGGGCCCATATGACAAGTTCTAGCTAATGGTCTATGAGTGAAAGTAATGTGTGTCATTTCCAGGCTGACATATTTAATTGCTGGTACACAACCCTCCTCTTTCTTCTATTGGGGCAAGCCTGGAAACCTTGGGTTGAGATGGTAGAGCCCAGGATGGAAGCCGTCTGAATCTCTGAGCCACCCAGTGCAGTGGAGAGCTACTGGGGAGTGCCTTGCCCACAGCAGGTATTGCAGTGAGTGAGGAAAACATCCCACTGTTAGGTTAATCCTTTGCCCTATCTGGGTTGCTGTTCACCACAGCAGAGGCTATCCCATTCCAGCCAGCATATAGACACTAATTGTGGTTTTAAACTTTAGCAGCAAAATTCCTTCCTATCTGAAGGTTAAAAATCTTCCCTCCCTTATAGGACTCTGGTATTTCCAAATCCACTGGGCACTTCTTTGTTCTTATCTTTCTTGATTTCTAAGTAGGATTTGTCACAATTGACCACTCCTTCCTGGAAACATTTTATCTTGGCATTTGTGACATCATACCTGCTCGGGTTTTCTCCTATGTCACTGGCCCCTGCTTCTCAGTTTTCATTGTTGGCTCCTTTTCCACTGTGCTTTTGTTTTTGTTTTGTTGCTTCAAAAGTTTGAAGGTCTGGGGGCCTGATTTTAAATACTAGCCATGAAAAAGAGAGCTGGATATCTTCCAGCATTCATTCCACCATTCTTTATTCAGAACAAAGCCCCTATTTTTAGTGGGGAACATTGTATCTCCCAGACTTCCTTGCAGCTGTATAAGGCACATGACAATATTTTGGCCAATGAGAATAAGCAAGAATGTGTGGGACTCTCAAGGCAGTTTTCTTAAAAGTAAGAGGGCACACCTGTCTCCATTTTCCTTCACACTGTTTGGAATGTGGACTAGAATGACAGGAACATAGGACTGGAAACCAGGTGCTGAGGATGACTGAGCAGCTCTGAACAGTCAACTTTTGGACTTAGATTTCATGGAAAAAGAAATTAATTTCTACCACAAGCAAATTCTATTTGCAACTGAATCTAATACATTGCTGTTGAAGCTATTTGTCTGCCTCCCTTTAGGAAGTCCAAGGGTGAAGATTCTCAATCAGAGGGGAGAACTGGCCGAAGGCACTTCAGACAATAAACTGTTGGGCTTCCTTCCATAAATGGTAAGTAACCAGGCTGCCAGAAGGACAGGATGGGAAATGGGCCTAGAAATATGGTTTATTAGTTTCTAGAGAGCACTAAATACTAGGTTAAGAAATCTGTACTCTATTCTGTAAATTCCTTGCCAATAGGGGATCCTGTCTTACCCAGTAATGCCTCAAGCTTTGTATATGCTCAATGAATGAATTCTTTATTAATTAATGCCGTTTGGTTAATAAACAGCATCAAAAGAAATGTCTGGAAGGTGGACTAGCTGGAAATCAACAACTCATCCATCCCTATTTTTTTTTTTTCAGATACAGTAACTGAAAGATCATTTGCTGGAAGTGGCAGTCATCCTGTGAGGAACAGCATAACAGAAAGTCTACCTCGGGGCTCACTGGGGGTAGGGGTGATGGAACCGCGGGCTGGGGGCCAGAAGGCAGCTGAGTGGGTCTCCCTCGGAGTCGATACAACATGGCGGCTCTGGAACCGCCTGACTCGCAGGAGGCGGAGCTCCGGCCAGATCGCTCGGCCCCGCCCCGCTCGGCCCCGCCCTGCGGCCGCTCGGCCGCGGCCCCGTGGGTTGTGAGGTGTCTGAGCCAGGCGCCTGCGCAGTGGGCCGCGGCGCGTGGGGCGGAGGCTTTATAACCACTTCGTAGCGGCTGCTTGGCTTCTATCTCCGGGAGGGCGGCTGAGGCGGCGGCCGCGGCGCCGGCTGGGGGGGGCGGGGGGCCGCTGAGGCGGGAGCTGTGGCGGCGCTGGGCGCCCCTGGCTCCTCGGCCTCTGCGGGCCATGGGCTCCGAAAAGGACTCTGAGTCGCCGCACTCCACATCCCTACACGCGGCCGCGCCCGACCCCAAGTGCCGCAGCGGCGGCCGGCGCCGGCGCCTCACCTTCCACAGCGTCTTCTCCGCCTCGGCCCGCGGTCGCCGCGCCCGGGCCAAGCCTCAGGCCGAGCCGCCGCCCCCGGCCGCGCCGCCGCCGCCCGCCCCGGCCCCGACCGCGGCCCAGGCCCCGCCGCCCGAGGCGCTGCCCGCCGAACCGACAGCCGAGGCCGACGCGGAGGCCGCGGCGGCGGCGGCGGCGGCGGGGCCCGGGTTCGACGATGAGGAGGCGGCGGAGGGCGGCGGCCCGGGCGCGGAGGAGGTGGAGTGTCCGCTGTGCCTGGTGCGGCTGCCGCCCGAGCGGGCCCCGCGCCTCCTCAGCTGTCCGCACCGCTCGTGCCGGGACTGCCTCCGCCACTACCTGCGCCTGGAGATCAGCGAGAGCCGGGTGCCCATCAGCTGCCCCGAGTGTAGCGAGCGGCTCAACCCTCACGACATCCGCCTGCTGCTAGCCGACCCGCCGCTCATGCACAAGTACGAGGAGTTCATGCTGCGCCGCTACCTGGCCTCGGACCCCGACTGCCGCTGGTGCCCTGCCCCGGACTGCGGGTGAGCGCGGGGGCGTGGCCGCGGGGGGCGGCGAGCGGCGGTCCCGAGGAGGGAGCAGGTGAGGGATGACCGGTGGGTGGGTGGGTGGGTGGGGAAGGCGGCACCTGCTACGGGGTGGGAACCAGAGTCACCCGGCTAGCCCAGACAGGTGGGCTCAGCACCCCACCCTTGCCCAGGGACGGGAGGGGAGGGCCAGACGGAGCGGTCGGCGATGGGAAGGGAACTGTCCATCAAGTCGGGAGCCAGGGAGAGGACCCCTCGGTCCAGAGGTGCGGGGGGATGTTAACCAGAACGCAGAAGGGGTGTTTGGCCAAGCGAGAAAGGCGCTGAGCACTGTGAGGGCAGCGCTTCCGAGGGGTGTGTCCGTTTGGCTAGGGGCAGACTCGGCACTGCAGGAGAAGGCACGTTCCTCCTGACAGCCACCGACTGCTGAGCGTTGGGAATGGCACTAGAGGAAGAAGACAGCTCCGAGGGATGGACAGACCGAGAATCAATGGGGCACTGAGAGGAAGGATGCCCAGAGGCTGCTCTGGTGGGAGAAAATGTTCTTCCAGTCCCTTTGATCTTGAGCTCTTGATGACAGAATTAAAATATGCAGTGTCTGGAGAGACATCCTACCACCACATTTCCCCATCTGAAGCTTTCCTCGGACACTACCGCTCACCCCCTTAAAAAAAAAAAAAATGTGGATTTGTTAGTGTCCGTGCATCCCATGAATGGTTGCAGGCAGCCAACAGGGGCTCATCAAAGTGGTTGGGAGTCAGACTGCTCTTACCTGCTCCCTGACCTTGAACAGATCATTTCATTCTTGTGTGTCATGTTTTGGGAGACTCTTTGCTTTGGGTAAATATAATGCTAGTAAAAAGTTGTATAGCTTTGAACTGTAGCCTTTATAGCAAGACTGTTCTGAGATGTCCACAATGCTTTTTGTGGATCCTTTTAAAAGGAACTGTCATAGAAGTGTCTCAAAGAGTACGAAGTTAACCATTTTTTTTTTATTCTGCCAAACTTGTTTAACAGTGGTGTTGTTTAACCTCTCTGAGAGGGAGTTTCTAAATTTTTGAAGTGTTGTGGTCAAAGGTACTGTGTTTATGGGCGATCACTTTCACTTTCAGTTAATAAGTATCAGGAAGGACTTTGTTAGGCTCTTGGAAGAGTTTGCTTATGTCAGGTGGTCTTAATTGGCCCTTTAAGGTTAATAGTGTTCAAGATTTTCAGATATTGTTTGATCTGCTTTCTGAACTAAAAGGATACTAACAAAAGAACACTGCATGATTAAAGAGTAGCATATTAAATTCTTTTTGAGATGTAGGTGTTCTCACATTTTAAGAAATGTGGCATCATTGGTCATCTTTCTGGAAAAGCTTCCCTCTTTTTACCTCTCTAAAGTCAGTCTGTCTTTGCTAACATAAATAGGGACAGAAATTAATTGCAAGCTTGGTGACAATTCTAAGTGGTGATTTAGAAGTTATTAAAGAACTAGGCCATTTCTTATTTTAGACAAGCACTAGATTATTATCATTGAGGTTTTTTTTAATTTGTTAAAATAATTATAATAATGATATAAAAATCCCCACCACCACCTTAAAAAGGTGATGTTTGGGAAAAGAATGAACTGGCATCTCAGTACCTGTGTGCCAGGCAGACATATGATCCTCTCAGAATTGTTAGTTAGATTTGATATAGTTTTACAGATGAGGAAACTGAAGTTTAAAAAAATTGAGCGACTTATGCCAGGTCATACATATAACTAATAAGAGGTGGAACCAGGCTTGGAACACTGGTCTTAATTCCAACCAAGCCAATATTCTTTCTGCTCAGCCTCTGTTTTAAAAAGCACTGGTTTGAGGCAGACATCTGGCACAGAAGTTAAAATGCCCGCACAATATGTTGGGGTACCTAGGTTCAGATCCTGGCTCTACACCCTGTTCCATCTTCCTACTAATCCTTATCCTGGAAGGTGGCAAATGAATGGCTCAAATACTTGGGTCCTTGTCACCCCATGTGGGAGACCTGAATTGAGTTCTGGGCTTCTGGCTTTTGCCAGGATCAGGCCCAGCTTTTGGGGTGTGAACCAGTGGATGGGAGCTATCCCTGTCTGTCTCTTTGTCACTGTCTCTCTGCCTTTCAGATAAAATAAAGCAAATCACTGTGTTGTCAGCATTACCCGAATGCTACTGTTTGTACGTGTTCCTTAATAGTGGTCTAAGGACAACATTGACAAAGCTAAGGATGCTACTACAGTTTGGTTTCTTTTTTTTGCTTTTATTAACAATCTCCTACCTACCTTATTTTTCTTGTCTGAAATAGGCCTATTCCTCTCCTGATTTGAGAGGCTTGATATAATGTTAGGAAAGTGTTTTTGAGATGTTCAGTTGAAGTTAGTTACAGATAAACAAGGGAGTAACTTTAAAATTCTGTCACTTTTCAAACTGTTGTCTGAATTCCCTGTGCACACATGTGTGTGTGTATGTGTGTGTGTGCCAGGAAAAAAGCAGCTTTTGTGCACTTATTGAGTGCTGTGGTTTCCCCTTATGTATTTTGTTCCTTTATCCTGGGCCTGGTAAAAATCGTGCTTGAGCCCTATAAGAGAAGCCCAAGCCCCAGTTAGCTCCCCTTCCCACACCTGACCACCTTTACTGCCCACAGATGAAGCCCTCCCTCTTCCGTGTGTGTTTGGCAAAGTAAGGGGGTCAAGTAAGTGATCTTCCCGAGTTCTGATTGTTAAAGTGACTTATTTTTGTTTATAAATAAAGAAGCCAGTTCACATTATTTAATAAACTAAATATACTATTACCAAGAATAATCTTTAAATGTACTTTCAAATGATAAAATTAGATCAGAATACAAATAACTGACACTTTTATGGTTTCTTGTAGTCTTGACTATAATCTTATTCAGATATAATTTTATTTTAGTCCCATACAAGTAGATGGCAATAAATGCATTTGTAAAGGAGAAACCAGAGAAATTTAAGTGTGTGGGGCCTAATATTTCATAGCTAATAAATGGTGCGGTTGATCCTGTGTCTCTGCTGAAGCATATTTTTTCAGAGACCCCCAAATCGTGTAAAACATTGTAATATGTAACATAAAAATCCATGATGCTTTCCTCTGAAGTGCCCTATTCCCAATCTTTAAATCCTTCCAGAGTCTAGGAGACTGAGGAATAAGCAAAGTAGGCAACAGAATTTCCTGACATACAGGAGGAAATCTTCTGTATAGACGCATAGGAGATAAGGCTATCTTGACCTGAATTCTTTGTGCAGGTCTACAACTCCAGCCTGCCATTGCTGCCTCCGTGCTCTGTAGAGGTTTCCCCCACCCCCTAACCTGACCCCAGCAGACAGTGTCAGCCATTGGCCTTCCCAGACAACTGGACTAGATCAGGCCATATGCACAATGTTTTGTTCATCCTCAGCACATTTATGACGAGAGCAAGTTCCCTGAACGAGAAAATTTTCACAATGGAAAAATATTTCCATTTTGAAGCCTTCCTGGACGTCTTTTCCTTTTTTAAATTCCGTACCTCTTGTTCCACAACTCTACCCTGCATCTCCTCGCCTCCCTTCCCCTCATCTGTACCGTCCTCTGGCCCAGTACATTTTTTTTTTTTTTTTTTTTACTTGAAAGAGTTACGCAGAGAGAAGGAGAGGCAGAGAGAGAGAGAGAGAGAGAGAGAGAGAGAGAGAGACGGGTCTTCCATCTGCTGGTGCACTCCCCAAATGGTCGCAACGGTCGGAGTTGTGCTGATCTGAAGCCAGGAGCCTGGAGCTTGTTCCAGGTCTCCCATGTGGGTGCAGGGCCCAAGAACTTGGGCCATATTCTACTGCTTTCCCAGGCCATAGCAGAGAACTGGACTGGAAGTGGAGCAGCCGGGACTCAAACCAGCGCCCATATGGGAATGCCGGCACTGCAGGCAGCAGCTTTACCCACTATGCCACAGCACCAGCCACTCCCCTAATTTTTTAATTATTTTAAAGACATAGGGACAAATGCAGGAAAATCCTTCATTCACTGGTTCACTCCTCTCCTCTCTCTCTCCTTTTCCCTCCCTCTCCCCCTCTCCCCCTTTCCCTCTCCCCATCTCTTTTACCTCCTTCTCCCAAATTAATAAAAATATAGTGATTAAAATGCCACTTAGGATGCCCACATCGCATATTGGAGTACCTGAGCCTGAGCCCTGGCTCTGCTTCTGATTCTGGCTTCCTGCTAATGTACACCCTGGGAGGCAGCAGGTGACACTTCAAGTAATTGGGGTCCCTGCCACCTCTGTGAGAGACACAGATTGAGTACTGGGCTCCTGGCCTGGCCCGGCCCCAGCTTCATCTGTTGTAGGCATGTGGGGAGTAAACCAGTGGTTGGAATATTTCTGTGTCTGTCTCTGCCTTTCAAATAATAAAGTAAATAACTAAAGTAAAAATTTTAACAAGTTTTAAGAAATAAAATGTTCATTGACTACTAGATATAGATGGCTTTTCATGATGTCTTTAAAATTTTACTTAGTCTATCATTTAAATTCCCTTATAGTTTGCAACCACCACTTTTTTTTTCTATTTTTTACCTACATCAGTATTTCCCAAATTACGTTATAAGTGTTAACTTGAAAGAAAAGTGTTTTGTGATCAATTAAGCTTGGAAAATACTGTGTTAAACAAAATACATTTCTCAGAGCTTTTTAGAGTCTTTAAACATGCTAATATTCACTGTAACTCTTACTAATGCTAATATGTAGTGTAGCTCTTCAATATGGTATGGTTTCCCCAAACTTAGATCATTCTGGGTCATTTTACTTGGTTTTCTGTGGCATCTTTAAGGCTGACCTCAATACTTTTTTGGGTATTTGCTATTTTCTAAACCCTTTAACAGTTTTCACCCTGGCTTGCCTTTGGTTAGTGTCCTTATTTAACAATGAATTTTGTGTTCTGAGTAGATTGAGAGTTCACGTCTAGACTGGAAATCTAAATCCCAACTATTTTTGTAGTTCTCGGTACAAAGTTT